ATAGAAAGGTGAAAGAGTAACCGGCCAAGAGAAAGCGTCGAACACCCTCCATCCCCACAAAATTGACGCATAAATCTGTATTTCATGATTTATTGCCTTTACGAACAGCCCTCCGAAGAAATATTCGGTACGAAAACTTGGTGTTACTTCAATGCTATTGCAGCCACAGATTCCCAAAACATCGTAGAATTACGGTTCGGTAATTCGGTTAACTTTATTGAGGATGATTCTTATGGCTATCTGCAATAACCTCCATAAATTTTCGTTCATTTTAAATGTTGGAACCATCTTTTCCCGTTTGCCGATTGATTCGGAAACCGCGAAAACATGACTTTCACTTTTTACAAGGCTTTTTTAAGTATTTAAGATTTTTATGAGCAGTTGCTTTTATTTCAGTAACTATAATGGTTGTTTAAAATATGAAAGGAATGTGAAGTACAGTGGTTATATGTGAAACATAGTTATTACATTATATATAATAACTACAATATAACCTAATCTAGCCGTTATTATATTGTAAATAATAACTATAATATTATAAAACATATAGCTGTTTATAGCTATTACAATACAAAATACATATAGTTGATTTAAATATGTAAAAATATATATTTTTATGTTCACTAACATAATTTCATTGTATTTAAAATTGCATCTAAAATGTAATAATGACAAATTATTAAAATAAACTCTATACAAAATATAATCAGACTGAAATATAGTTCTATACATATATAATTATGTATGTATAAAATTATAAATAAACATGTACACAAAATACAACTATATAAATATACAATACAAATATATAATTATCTTGAAAAGTTGAAATTGAACGTGTTTATATACTCATATAGGCCACCTTATTCGAAGATTTACGACACCTGAGATTGAAACATTCAAAAGTAGCCTAAACAAGTGAGAAACACTTCATAAATTCTGATTAAGTAAATTCTATTTGATATTCTAGTATTTTGAAAGGGCGGTCGATGAAAGATCCCACGATCACTTGAACGACGCCCGCATCTTAACATCCGCCGGTATACCATTTAGCAATAATTTACCCGACGTCGTCACGAAATACTATCGAAAAATTCAGAATCGTGTGGTCATTGACTCGGAGATCAGGCACAGAATCCCACGGGTATATTGTAGTCCAATGACAAGTTTGTATTTACACGTCGCATGCCAAAATTGCGCCGCCGGTGTAAATACACCCGTATGAGTCCCGAAACAGGGGGATAATATTGATAGTGGTTCTTCTCTCAAAGGTAATACAATTCCGTCGCCGATTCATTTCAGCGTGTATTCTTCTCTTGTCAAGCTTGCTTTAATATCACTCGGAATGTGCAGTTATTCGCGTTAAACCCTTGCCTCATTATTTATCCAATGCGTGAATTGGAACTAATCACAGATACAATATTGAAATACAGAAGAAATGTTGAAATTTTATATTTATTATTAAATGTTGTCAATTTTATATTCGGTAATCTTTGACTATGCAGTAAGTGGACTTAAACTACAAATGAGTATTAAAAATTCGAGTAAGATTTTATCACAGTTGAAACATGAGTACGTCACATATGGGACAGAGGTTAATATAATCGTAAGAGTTTAATATTCGGAAAATGTACTTTTGTTTTTGCTGTTGTTTACAGGAAAATGATTTATCACGCTGCTTATTTCACAGAATGAATCATTGTACATTAAAAAAGTGAGTCACAAAATTAGTTACTCACGCTAATATGGCAGATGAATGAAATAATCAGGCAATATACTTTTTCAATTTTTATTTGGATATTCATGATTCAAAATTTAATTTAATAGAACCACAAGAAATTACAAAATTTTAATTTAACTATTGAAAAATGAATTTTAAGACTTCTTTACGTTTCTTTACGTCGCATACAAGTAATAACTCACTGTATTGATATATTAATATGCAATTGTTAGAATACAAGGACAAATACGTCGAACAAAAATAATAACACGAAATAACAAAAGCGCATAATTTACAGAAATTAGTAACACAAATTAATAATCATCGAAACGTTTAGTTTGACAAAAAATAACCGTGGATGATCCTTAAATAGAAATCTTGTAACCACCTCAAAACGTACATATTTTATTTTTACAGAAATTTCACATCTTCAAAAATAATAAAACGCATCAAGTAATATAATTTACACTATTTTACAACTAAAATGCTTAAATAATTGTGTACAAAATTAATTATTATATTAAACATTTATGATATAAATACAAAATATGCAGAAACGGACAAATATTTGGTGGTCCTGTAATAGGATTAAGGGAAGGTATCAAAAGGATCAATTCTGTCAAGCAAAGAAATTTTTCAAACCTTTTCATCCGCGGCTTCTTTCAGCGGCACTAAACCCTTCATATTATGAAAAAAATGCTTCTAAAGTTCGAAATTTATCAATCGGAGCTTGTGAGTTCTAATCAATTGTTCCCAAAGGTGGCAGCAGCTTCTTCAAAGACGGATGAGAAACAGAGGACGTTCAGGCAAGGACATTGACAAATACACCATTCAACGCGTACTAACATGGAACTTAGAAAAAATCGTAGAATTAGTTCCTAATCCCTTTGGGAATTTGAAACACTTTTTTATGTCCTTTGATCACCCACGTTCTTTCATCCTTGCGGCGTACTTTTCATTTTTAGTTTAAAATTGTTTGTGTGGGATGCAATAGATGGAATGTTACAAATATTATCGAAAATATTATTTACTTATAAAAATTATGTTAGTTATGGAAATGAAATTTTTGTGTTTATTCAATTTCACTTATATTGAAACTGAAATAAAAAAAATAAAAAATAATACATAAACTAACTTATACAATGATTCTTCATCCCAAAGAGTTTTTGACAAGATCTTAATAATTATAACAGATTTAACACTAGATTTAGTATTAAAAAGTAAATAAACCATTACATAAAATTTCACGACGAAGTATGCAACTTACTATATTAAATCGACGCATACAAGAATACTATCGTCTTAAATAGAAACGAGGCATAAAATGGAGAATCTCTGAAGAAATCGACTTTTAACCTTAACTTTCCGGTGCAATTCGTAACTAATCGCGGTCTGCTACCGAAATGTTCTGCCATTGACGACCGAGTAACCCGAATACTTCACGGCCGTCTATTCCGCATATTATTCCTTAGTTTCACCCTGGATGTTCCTTCCTTTCCCCGACTTTCTCGTCGGCTCGTGCGGAGAACCGAAAATCTGCTACCGAATTTCCCGAAATCACCTTTCTTCTATGATTTACAAGTGCTCCGACTGCAGTCGGTCGTGTACGCCTTTCAGGTCAACGCGAGAAAGAGATTCGAACGCACCGAGAGGAAGATATCGGTGGAAAAAGAGAAAACGAGAGGTAGAAGTCGTCAGAGGAAGAAACGAGCTTTCGACAAATAGGTCGAACACAAGAAAGATAAAGCTGTCTGGAGGCAACAGCTTCTGGTCCGAAACGTTTCTCCTTGGCCGGTAGCGAAGATTCTCCTCGAGGCAAAAGCCACCCCATCGAGGCTTGCCACAACAATTTCTCTGTTCACGATGTAGGTTACCGAGACGATGCTTTCAGAGACCTTTTACCCTAGTGCTTTACTGCCCTACAATAAATCAATTGCCACCGACTGCCCGCCAAGGCCGCACGTTCGTCCTCGAACCATCTTTTCGAAAGTACATCGACTGTTGATGCACTGGACATTTACTGATGGTGGACCAAACGATTGCAATCATCCGTGTTGATATCACTGTTTTAACAGTAGCTGGCCATCGAAGTAGGACCACTATTTTCAACATTTTTCACTGCTCAAATTGTAGTTATGTATAATATATAGTCTGAAATGCGATAAACAGTGCTTAATTAAAATATTACAAAGGACACTGACTGATAATACATTTTTAGTGGTATTAATAATTACCAATGATGTGCGTTTGAAATTTATACGTTGATTGGTATATGAAGTAAATTCAATTAAAATCTTTCAACGCGCATTACAAAGTTATGTCGTATATTTTCTTTATTTACACTTTCCATTATTCTACCCCTTTTCAGGTCCTTTTACTATTCAATGTATTATTTAACAGTATACAGAGAATTCGCTTTTCATTTAAAGTTTGATAATGAACAGATTCTAATAAACAGTATTGTCATAAACAAGATTATGTTATAAAAATATATTGGAGCTAATGGCTGTTATCGACGCTCATAAAATCAGATCATTCAAAATTACTATAAATCTAACGTTTCATCGATCTGAACATATTTTTCATTTAATATGTATAAGGTAATCATGAACACATAACACCTTATTTTAAGCAGATGTTTTGAGACGTACAATTTTGGACCATGGGCAAAACTTCAGGAACCCCTGTTTTACATGATCGTCATATCGTAAATATAAAAGTATGTACATCTTTCAATCAAAAATCAAAACATGAGGTAAAAGGCTTGTGAACCTAAACGGCCGAGGTGACCCCTGTAAGGGTCAGATATATATTAGTAGTTACAGCATCAATATTAGTCAAAAATTTATAAAATTCATGATCTAGACCGGCTTGGGTCTTTTAACTCCTTAACCTACAATTTTGTGAACTATTGTGTCATGCACAGCTAGCTAATTATTTCCACAACGTGAATACAACTGAAGAAAGTTGAAATGTTAGGAACATTATGCATTCAACGATTCTTGATTATACAGATTATAATTAGAATTGAACGCAAAATTCAATTGCAGTGAAAATACGAGTCTAGTTTATAACATTCGTACGAGTGTAGTGTGTCATATCCGAATTGCGATGTGCGTCACGAATGTGACACAATATTGTAAGGCAAGGCATTAACACGTGTTAATATCTTGTATTTCCACCCTTTACTTTTACCACTCAGTTGATTCATTTTTCTGTTGTACCCCCACATACGATTCTTTGTAGATGTAATTTCGTTTTTAAGAAAATTAAATCTAGAAATTTTTCAAAATTTTTATAAAACAACTTATTTACAGGAAGGAAGACTTACTTAGTTATTTTTTGATTAATGGAGTAATTCATTTATAGTGAAAGTTAAGCAACTTCATTGTTTAATAAAGTTTGATTTGCTATATTATTTGGATCTGAAAAATTTTCAGATTTAATATTTTAAAAAATAATATCGTATACAGAATGATTTTATTTTGTAGAATTTTATTTTTAATTATTAACAAATATTTTTAAATATCATAAAAAACAAAATCTTGAAAATAACTAGTGTTAAAACAACATAAAAATGGTGTAATACTATCATCATTTAAAGATTAAAATATTTAATTAAAAGATTAAAAAATATAGAAAAATTAATATTTAATTGTAACTGAATTTTCTTAATTCAGCTGCAATTAAAAACGCCATTTTGATCTAAATACTCGAATAACTTTTCTAATCAAAATATCCTCTTTCGTTCATAACCGGAATCATTTTATGAGCCAGTTTCACCGCATCTGGGTTTCTGAAGACATCCATTTTTGTTTCACCTGCATAATCTTTCAACACTTGAGTAAAATCTTCGGTATCTTCCTTGTTCGCCATCATTCGTAGATAAAGCACGATTCCTGAAAAAACTGCGTATATTCTTCTTTTGTACACTGCTTCTTTTAGTTGCCGTATTGTTGGTGGTTTTGTTTTACAACCGATTTTTCTCATAGTTTCTTCTAAGACATTTAAATAAATTTCCAGAAAGTAATCGTCGTTATCGTACTTCACTTTGAACTCGGGACAAATGTTCAAAAAATATATTAAATCGATAACAGGAGAAGTGTACACGGACATCTGATAATCAACCTGTAAACAATATAAACTGATCAAATTTCAGAGACTTAGAAACTGGAAATTTGAAAATTTACAAATTGGGATATTTACGGATTCAGACATTCAGAAATTTAGAAATCGAGAAATCGAAAATGTGACAAATTCGAAAATTTCAAATTTTGAAAATTAGTAAATAAAAATTGTAAATTAAAAATCTTGAACCTATAATTTAAGAAATGTCCAGCATTTTAAACGAACAAATTGAGTCATCATTACTATCTACAAGTATGCATCACTGTCTGAACCCCCGCAGATACAATTGTCTATTAGTGGAATAATCTTACTACGGAGAAGAATAATGATAAGGGAAATTAATTGTCATAATGACGAATACGTGTCAGCTGACTGAATACGCATTAAACTAATTAAATGTGTGTTTACTATTTCTGCATTAGTATAATCTGACAATAAAAAAGATTCAAGTAAAAATTATCGCAAAAGTGTAATAATTACTTTCAGCTGGTACTGCTGTTATCAGCCGCACGTGTCAAATTAATAGATAGAATAATATAAACGGGATAGTGAGCAAGGTCGTGTACGAGATATCGGACGTAGCTTATTAACAGCAGAGTTTTGATCTTAGTTCTTGGGAACAATTGTTAGAAAACAGAAGTGGAGTCACTCAGAAATGAAATTAAAATAAATATAGGCTATAAGATGCTACGTTTCTAAATCTCTTAATGTCTAAATCTCTTCCTCTTTAAAAAGATATAGTACATAATATAATAAAATGTTAACATGATATTAAATGGAACGTCAATCCGTATAAATTTTGAAACTTTAGATAGTACAAAATTGTATATGTTAGCTAGTATAAAATTTAAAATGCTACTGATTATCTGCATAGAATTGTTTAACACCGCGATGTGTGTTATAAAAATCACATGTGCAAGAATGTGGATTAATTACCATGCCATTGCGGTTAGTTAATGTAAACGTTAAAGATTTAGTTATGAATTGCATAAAATTGTGTAATGTCTTAATATGGTTATATGAATTATATATACAAAACTATGCATTACCAGAATATTTTCGAGGGGTTGTCCTTTTTCATTTTCCCTAAACATCATATTATTGATCCAACAGTCTCCGTGATTTAACACACAAAACTCGTCAGGATCGTATCTATATACGTCGACACATCGGGGACCGATATTTTTTGCCAATTTAAATAATTTATCCGCCGTGTTTGCACATTTTTCATCTGACCATGTTCGTATCTCTTTGCCTATCCGTAAAAGACTCACTTCCATCATTCGTATGAAACTCGTTGGGCATTTTGTTGACACGATACCACCATCTCTGAAAGCTTCGATCATAGCTGGATGCTGGAAAATTTATTCAAAATGATTTTCTCAATCTTATACTTTTTAAGTCAGAAAGTACATTGTTAGGTTATTGCATATAAAATGACCGATTTCGGAACATCAAAAGTCTACCACATTTTCATGACATAAAAGCACTGAAAATTAATACTTGTGATACTTCAATTCGAAGCTTAAAGTTTATTGAAAATGAGTATGCAAACATTTCATAATCTATTTTAATGTGAATTGGTTGCTTGCATCAAAATCATTTCATTGATGACTCTGTGTAGTGCACAGTAAGATGTTTAACTTTCGGTTATTAATTTTATATGAAGTATAATAACGAAAGGTGTGGATGGTCATTTTCAACAGATGGCAAGTTTTAAATTGATATAGTATAAGTGCAACTTTACGATAGATTTATATCATCAAATTGTTTCACACTTCGGACGTTCTCAAATCAGTGTTATAAATAACAACCAGCCATTTTGTATTTAAAATATTGCTAAAACGCTTAGATAGTCACTTTCAAATTTCAAATTAATATAAATGTGCGATCTTTTATGGTAGTTTACGTCATCAAATCCTGTCGAACTTTCGATGTTTCAAAAAACTCTACCTAATGTAACTGTGAAAACTTAGAAGCACTAAAATTTATAACTTAAAAAGTTAGAAATTTAAAAAGCTGTTTATTTCAAACTATGACAATCTAAAAACTTACCGTAACTTTGGCATAAATCATTTCCTGTATCATCGATACTTTCGAAGATATCCGAGTGGATATAAATCGACCTTCTCTATATATACATACGTAACATGATATATCCAACATAGTAGCTATATGATAAATATGCTTACCTTTTCAAAAATTGCAACCGAACCAGCGTGTAACCTCGCCATTTGTTGAATCGCCATACGACAATGCTCAAATGACAAACCCTTCTGTCGATTTTTCATAATAAACGCTCTTTTCCTTAAATCTTCCATGAAAAGTACCGGGGGATTCTCGCTTCCGTACCATAACTGCGGTCCTAATTGGTGCCCAACGATTTGCTTTATTTTCGGCAAAACGTCACGTAGGACTTGCAACTCGGTCAAAAAGAGATCTTGTTGGCGAACAAGCTCTCGCGACACCTCGTTCGAGGGTTCAACCTTAACAACCAAATTCGTGGAACGTTCGTACTTCGTTTTCCCGTTTTTAGAGGTTACGGTATACCGTATAGAAGCTTCATGGAGATCACTGAGAAAATTAACTCCCTTCTCCGACAAGGGATGGGTCGTAATTTCCAGGACTTGGATGGTTTCATCTGACAACTTCTCTCGCAGTGCCGTTTCGAACAAACCTTTGTCGATTCTCAAATGCATCACTTCCATCCTGCAAAAGTACACGCTGTACGGTTATTATCGTCTATTTAATATTTATTTATACTTTTACAAAAGAAAAGTAAATTAAAATTCGTAGTAGAAACACTGGCTGTTTATTTTGAAAGTGACCTAAGTCCATCTGTACACTTGTAACATGAACCACTTGATGTTCGCTGTCATAAAAAAGATTTTTTGGTTAAGTATATTTAGAGTATACGATCATTTTCGACATGTATTTGCAGTTATTTTGATAGTTGAAAAATTGAAAGTGGCCCAAATCCAATCTATTATTAATGTCAGAAACTGTGGATTTTCAAATGTCCACTAATGATAATTACAATTAATTATTAATTAGTTAATATAATAATTAATTATAGAAGTACTATAACTTCTCCAAATCGACTCTCCATAGACAAACTGAAGATGATTAGTAAATTGTTATGTAATTTATATAGTCATATTTCCATAATTGGATAAATGGTGTTTTTCAAGTGTTATAATAAAACATAAAATAAATTAAATATTGTTTTTTCACTTTGAAGCATTTTAAGTTGTATTGAATCGGGCTGTTTCAAATTTTATGATAAATCTATTTTTTAAATTTTGAAAGTGGCTTAATACGGGCGTTTGATGGTCACTTATATTTAAATTTGAACTAAAGCAGAAAACTAAATAAATTGGGACTGCCTAAGACATTGATTCTTTAGCTTGACAAAAGTTGACATATTTTTACAAAAATTTCTTGATAAATTTTGTCATTTAAAATAAGAGAACTATGATTCGTCATTTTAGCGGGTTCCGTCACATATTCATTTGATAATTATTTTAACAGAAATTGTTTAACAGAAATTTACCTCTCTTAAACACTTCAATGTGATACATTGATATCCTATACGTATATTTTTAACTTAATTGAAACACAAACACTTAAATATCTCAATTTAAACATAAATGAACTTAGACCACGTTCAAAATAAACGGCTCAAATCTTTGTCAATTCTTAAATGCCATTCTGCAAAAGTTCGCACTGTATGGTAATTATCACCTAGTTTTGTTTATACTTAGATTTTCAAAGGAAAAACAAATTAATCAAAGTGTAAGTGTTTATCACAGAAAAACATTGGCTGTTTCCCCGGTTCATCTTCTCTATATCGGTTATTGCAATATACAATATAGTAGCTCTTATCCACCTTAAGTTATATTTTTAATAGCGGAAGTAACGCGTAATTAATTTCTTTCAGTAGTTTCGAACATTGTAACAGAGAAAGAAAAAACAAGAATAGAATAAGATAGTATTGACGAACTTGACATCCGCGGTTTTGGTTATCCGTGACTGACTGAAACAGTGGTGTGCAAGAAAAAGGAATGAAAAACACTCGCTGGATTTTAGTTGAATTCATGATTTGTAAATTTAGAGACTTGATATGTTTAAAATTGCTAAACTTACAAATTTGGAAATTTTTTAAATTATACATTTTTATGTTTGAAAAATTAAAGATTTTGAAAATTGGGAAATTTGAGAATTTAGGATTTTGGGATTTTGGGATTTTGGGATTTTGGGAAATTAGGAATTCGGAAATCTGAGTATTTGAGTATTTAGGATTTTAGGAATTTAAAAATTTGGGAATTTGAGGATTTGGGGATTTTAGAGTTTGAAAATTTGGAAAATTGGGAAAATTGGGAAATTAGGAAATTGGGAAATTGGGAAATTGGGAAATTGGGAAATTGGGAAATTGGGAAATTGAGATATTGGGAAATTGAGAAATTGGGAGATTGAGAAATTAGGAAGTTGGAAAATTGAGAATTTGGTATTTTGGGAATTTCAAAATTGAAAAATTTGGGAGTTTGAGAATTGAAGAATTTGAGAATTAGTGAATCAGAGAATTCAAGAATTTGAAAATTTGAAAATTAGAAAATTAGAAAATTAGAAAATTAGAAAATTAGAAAATTAGAAAATTTCCAAATTGGAAAATTTTGGAATTGGAAATCTTCTAAACTTAAAAATTTGAGATATCAAAAATTCTTAAATTTCTTAATCAAATTCTAAAAGATCGAATATTTGAAAATTCCTAAATTTCAGAATTTATGAATTCAATACTTCTAAATTTCTACACTTATAAATTTATAAGTATAAAAATCTCTAATTTTTCACTTAAAAAATTTAGATTTAAAAATCTAAAGAATTTGAAAATTTGAACTCGTTACGTTACCTGCCTAAATATGGCACCCGGAGCAAGTGCCCCATTTGCCCAACGCTAAAGACGATACTGTTTATGTAAATACAGAAATTAATTTCACTGATTACATAAGAGTGAGAATACAAAATATTTAATGAATGAACAAACAATTGTCGAAGAAACGTGTTCAGTGAATCATCTTTTATGAATTAAAATAATATTTCTTATTTGAAAAGATTACAACCGTTATCGGTCTTTACACAAGTTACATAACAGTACCAAAACTGTTCATTAAAAGTGTGTTAAGAAGATAATCAAAAGTCCAAGCAGCGTTCGTATACAAATTCTGAAACGTTTTTACAGGATTAAGTAATTTATGTAAGATTAAAGAATTAAACTGTACAAGGTTATACTTATGCATTATTATAACAAAATTATTATATTTACAACTAGATTATTACAAAATTACTATTTTGCATTAGAGCATACAAGTAAATTTCATAGTTTCATATTTTTATAACAGAAAGTTTGACTTTTTCAAACATTGTACATAATTCATTTACGACATAAATAATATAACCTAATATAAATTGATATAAACTTATTTATAATATCGAAAGAAGTTGTAAATAATTTTATAATACTATCCTTACTGACAAATGAAAATATGTCTACGAATAGTTTTTTAATCTTCTTTTTTTATTAGTTTTTATAAATTGTCCCATTTACAAATTCGCAGAGTTTTACAGTTTCTAACCTCTCAAATTTTCCAATTTTCAAGTATTCAAATATTCAAATACCCACATTTCCTAGTTTCTCCAATTTTATATATTATTCAATTTTCAAATTTCCAAGTTCCAACATACTCAAATTTTCAAGTATACAAATTTCTAAATTCTCAAATTTTCAAGCTATACAATTTTCGCATTTCTGAACTTATACATATTTTAAATGTCCAAATTCCTAAATTTTCAAATATTCTATTTTTCAAATTTTCACATTTTATAAATTCTCAAATTCCTAAATTATCAAATTCCCACATTTCCTAAATTCTCAAATTTAAACATTTTCAAACACCTTAAGTTTCTGGATTTCTACAAATCTTCCAAAACATTTTTATTAAAATAATCATTCGTTACAAGAACTATATTTATATTAAAAATTTCATACTTCGAATACTTACATTTGTTTCTCGCACTTAATAGTAATATTTGTATAGAAACTAATAGGTGATATTTTACTATACATTTCGTGAATATACTACTATGCCTATAACGACATGTATTATATCGTTTACGTTTATTGCGACATACATATATGCAGTTTTGAGAAAGCGATATCCTCTGAAGAGCATGCATGTTTACCGATTGTTATCTATTTATCTCTGTCATATGTTAATTACTGTCCGCTATCATTTACACATACCCAAGCACTCTTAATACTTGACTCTCTTGTAACAACTATTGTTTCAAAAGAAAACGTATAAGAATCGTTACAAATACAAACATACTGTAGTAACACTACGTTTGATCAAAGCGCGTTAACGTTTTGTTATTTCGCTCACATCGAATGAAAACAAAAATTTATTAAGACTTTCGTTGGAAGTGTCTGTTTTTATCGAGATTACTATTAGCCCTTTGCGGTCATATGTCTACTCTCAGCCACCACAGCAAGGAACCATATTAACCTTATACTTTATACAACCACAATCAAAAAGCAATTTTTCGACAAGATCTAAGATTGTTGGAACTAATGTACCTGTTCATTGCACCGAAACTATCGACTTTTTCAGGCTCTTTTTCACAGATACACTACTTGAAACAATTGTACTAGAAACAAATAAATATACCAAAAATAAAATAGAACAGTAGAACTTATCTGATCGATCAACATGGAATAACTGGATCGATGTGACGAAAGAAGAGTTAAAAGCTTTTTTGGGTGTAATCTTTAACATGGGTACTATACCAGATCCTAATATGAAATATTATTGGACTAAGGAACATGTTGGGAACATACCATTTTTTAGAAATATATTTCGAAAGGAAAGATTTCTCCAAATATTTTGGATGTTACATTTGAATGAAAATGTTTTCAGAAATGCAAATGTAACGACGAGAATCCAAAAAGTGAGCAATTTTATCGATTATATTGATGGTAAATTCACAAAAGAAGTAATAAATTTTGTTTATCCTTCATAATCTTGCATGTTATGTATCACTACTCAAGGGAAATTAATTTTGACCAGTACGACACCCATGACCAAATTTAATATGACCGCAAATTTACGATTTATCATTCGTTTAGTCATGTTTCTATTTTATTTTTAATTTTATGTTACACGTGTAGGTTTAGCGTAAAAGCAATCAAGTTACAACGAATAATCACTAGATTTTACTCACAGTCTCTTGTTCACGCACTTAGAACAGTTATAACATACCTAGACTACAAAACACGTTCAGGTTCCGATGTACAAAAACCGTGGAATGTTTACCGAACACGTGTGTAAACTTTTATGTTTGAGTCTTCATCAACTTCACGAGCGAATGTCACCACCTAGCAATATAAAGTGGCTTAATCGTAGACCATTACCTACTGCCTACACTATGTTCGTGAGTTGTTATTCGTTTCAACTGCACCACAGTTCTGATAACAAGCGAGTCAACTGTTCAGGGCTGGAGCAAATTATCCAATAGCCCGTTATTTCCGCGAAAAGATTACACTGTCCAACAGCCAATTGGCATTTCTATTTTCATTCAGTGTTTCTTATAGCCTTTTTCGCGCTGATTACGAATCTAATGGTGCTCTGCATCAGAGCAGCCGTTATTAATGCGATTACGCTCTGGCGTGGAGCACCACCACCCTTGTTTCGTCTCGCGCGTTGCTATTTTGCTTTTTGGCATCGTAAAAAAAACGACGTTGCAACTTTCTAGGGGTGCATTTTAAAGGTGAAAATCTGCTCTATCGTGTGGTATAGTTCAATTTTCCACTAGACCCTTACTTTTTAAGATAAATTGAAAAATATACGCAAAAATTGGTGCAAAATCCATGTCTCTCGGCGTTCAATGTTCATTTAAACATGTTTAAACATTCAGAATGCATAAAACGCAGGTATCGTTGTATTCGGGAAAGTCTATAGAAGTTTTTGATGTAAACAGAATCTTAGTATCTTTTATAGTTACCTCACAAAATTGGTTCAAATTTAAAAAATGTGTTTTTTTTTCAAACTTAAATTTCTCAAAAACTGTACGTGCTACAGAAAAACGGGTTGCAGATTCGTAATCAGCGCGAAAAAGGCTATAAGAATCACTGGACGAAATTGGAAACGTCGAAAAAAAGTCAAAATTTGTTGGACAGTGTTATAGACTAATTAAGCATATTTATCTCCCCAAGCGTTATGTTCCTTTATAAAACCACATTGTAAAGAAGATCCAACTGAACATTTGTTTATCAACATATTTAGCACATAACTAGTTTACTTCGGTGCAGGCTAGGATGACTCAAAGAACATTTTTTCCTCCTTTACCCTCTACAGGTTTAGTACACAGTGATGATAGATCCTCTCAAATTTAAGATTTCACACAAAGTATTCATTTTTATTATCGCGAGATATTTAAGGGTTGTAATGATTATATTATTTTATTATTATATTTCAATATATTTAAAAATATTAATAAGTACTAATACACAAATTTTTTGCATTTTCTGGCGTTATGTTTATTACCGAATAGTGTTTAGTGTTTCAGCCTAAGGTTTACCGCCAGTTTTAAAATAAACATTCCAATATCATTAATCACTCTAACTCCCATCAAACAACAGGAAAGAATTATTTTTACTATTAATTGCTTACAGATAAAATTACCATGTTTTATCTGCTGTTGTCATTGTCTTAATTTATTTTCAAAAATAGACTAACCTAAAAATAAACTACGTAATATTATATTACATACAAATACATTGTGACTTCAAAATTGCAAAATATTTTTTTAATAAGTAAACGTTTAAAAGTGAAAATTATTTTATTTCGTATCTGAAGGTTAAAGTTTGATTACATACCCTCTTTCAATTGTAAACAAAATGACATATAAAGAACTAGAAACAGAGATAAAAACAAGTTAAAATATGAAGGAAGAATTTATTTTAATGTAAGCTATTAATTAACTTGCCTTTTTTAATTACAGATAAAAGTAAGTTTAGTTTCGGAAGGTATTAACTCGTAAAAAAAAGCTGAAAGAATAGAGGAGAAACCACGGTCAGATCCAATCAGAAACCTCACAAATCATCCAAGGTTACCAAATTTTTCGAGTACTGTGTCAATTTGGGACCCATCGTATAACTTTTATAGGGGGCCACAAAACAGCTTCCGTACCTCTCGTTTTGCTTTTCACCTTCGTATCCCAAGTTTCCAACAAATTTTTTGGGACGTAGAAACTTTTATGGGACATGCGGTAAGCCAAGAGTCGTTTCGTCAGTCACCGCAGTTCACCGAGCAAGAAACTTTACGAAATATCGCAGAAAATTCGGAAACCAGGGTAATAAATCATCCTCGTTTTTTCTTCCTATTTTGTGAACCTTCGTAGCCTAAGCTTTGTTTAAGCGACCACCACAGTTATAATTTAAACTGGATCCCAAATTCTGGTTTCACATTTCTACTTTTACTTCTTACAATTTTTTATTAGTAGCAAAAAAAGAGACACTTGTGTAGTATTTAAAGTATCTGACAAATAATCTTTCTAGTTTGAAATCTTGATTTTCATAAGAAAGGATATGTTTTGTCACAGTAATCAAAAAATCGTATTTGTAGAATATTCCTTCGAAAAATTTAATTACTACAATCTGAACGAACTACCGAATTTGTAGTTATAATTCTATTTTTTTATATATGATTCACCGCCAGGATAAGGGAGACAAATGTAAACGTTCGATATGTTATCATTGGCCCACGGATATGCAATTATCAGAAAGTGCATACACGTTGAAAACAATAAGAAACTTTCTCGCATTTATTATTATAACTTAAGTTGCAATATTTCATTATGATTAAAACATGAATTTATATAGTGACATTTTTATCACTATATAATAGTTTTGTTCCATTGCAACATACTTTTCTCATTTCTTTTGAAATTTCAGCAATTACATTATTTCAAATACTACAAATTTTAAATGATTTATCTTTACTCGTATTTTAGGTTAAAGTATTATCTCACATTAATTGTTTCATGTCTTATTTTGAATAAATGTAACAAAATCAAACTTGCATTTTTCGCATCGTGAATAAGGTAAAAGGAACAAAAATAAAATTACTAGCATAAATGAATTAATGAACTTAGCACTTTAGAATTATGTATTAATAACTAATAAAATGTAAACCTTTTTGTTTAAAAAATATTTTAAATATTACTGACAATGGCTATAATTGAAAACATAACCTCACTTTTCTTCTTCATACGCTATTTGTAACAAAATACAATTAAAATTAGGAAATAAAATTTGTTATTTTCATACTAAATCATATTAACAATAACGAGCTGATGATTAAATATTAACAACCTAAATATTTAAATGCATCGTACAATAAAATATTTCCGGTAGTCGATTGTGATGGAACTCGATCGATGTTACAAAAGAACCTACAATATGAAATTTCAGTTTCCAAAATTTATTCATTTAAAAAAGTTAGAACCTCATACAAAATCTATCATTAATCCCAAAATATAGCAGAAGTTCCTCTTAATAAAATAAATGAAAAATTTTAAATAAAATGTGTCTTCCTCTTCGAGAAAATAAAATTTGAATATTTCTTTTTGAATTATGTGAACATTTCACATATATGAAGATTTAAGACATGTATAAATTTATTATGACAAACATGATGATAATTGTAGCAACTTTTTCCTTAATTCAGCACTTAATTAATATTATAAATTAATAAATATTGTTCTAGTCAAATAGTATTCCACATGTTATTGTTTAAATACTAATACATATATAGTCGGAAATGTAATAAACAGTACGTACACGCTTAATTAAAATATCACAAAGGACACTAACCGATAATACATTTTTAACGGTATTAATAATTACCATTGATGCTCATTCGAAATTTATACGTTGATTGGTATACGAAGTGAATCCAATTAAATTCTTTCAACGCGCGTTACAAAGTTATGTCGTATATTTTCTTTATTTACACTTTCCATTATTCTACCCCTTTTCAGGTCCTTTTACTATTCAATATACTATTTCAAGAGTATACAGAGAATTCTCTTTTCATTTGAAGTTTGATAATGAACAGATTCTAATAAACAGTATTGTCATAAATAGGATTATGTTACAAAAGTATATTGGGGCTAATGGCCGTTATCGACGCTCATAAAATCAGATCATTCAAAATTACTATAAATCTAACGTTTCATCGATCTGAACATATTTCTCATTTAATATGTTTAAGGTAATCATGAACACATAACACCTTATTTTAAGCAAATGTTTTGAGATGTACAATTTTGGCCCATATAGGCAAAACTGTAGGAACTCCTGTTTTAGATGATCAACATATAGTAAATATAAAGGTATGTACATCTTTTAATCAAAAATCAAAGCATGAGGTAAAAGGCTTGTGAACCTAAACGGCCAAGGTGACCCCTATAAGGGTCTGATATATATTAGTAGTTACAGCATCAATATTAGTGAAAAATTTGTAAAATTCATGATCTAGACTGGCTTGGGTCTTTTAACTCCTTAACCAACAATTTTGTGAACTATTGTGTCATGCACAGCTAGCTAATTATTTCCACAACGTGAATACAACTGAAGAAAGTTGAAATGTTAGGAACATTATGCATTCAACGATTCTTGATTATACAGATTATAATTAGAATTGAACGCAAAATTCAATTGCAGTGAAAATACGAGGCTAGTTTGTTACATTCGAACCGCAACATGCATCACGGGTGTAACGCGTTATTATGCAACAAGGATTAAGCGACAAGCAACTTTATATTCCATCACTTATTAGTTATTGATTAGTTATTGATAAATTGTACATCTAACAAATATCGATTTTCAAGGGAAAAATGGCAGCCCTATTTCTGTCCCAAGCTTCGAAGACGGAAGCACGAGCAAAATCAGGCGAATAATGGCTCCTTCCTCTTAACCTAGAGAAGCCTTCATTACACTCGGGTGGTAGGTGGTGCAAAAAGGTCTAAAATGGTACAGCACGGTGTCTGTCGGCGTGATGTGGCGCGGTGTGGCGTGGCGTGCCCTGCGCGCACGTTGAAGATGCCCCCTAAGGGCTGCTGGCACCCCTACCTCGCGACGACCGTTTGTTCGATTTGGTTCGAGTTTACGACCCTGCTGAGCCACAAAATTTACGGTACCCTCTTAAAAGCGATCCAAACACGTACCGGTCCATTCGGGGCATCGTTTAGGAGTATGGCGTACCTTGCCACGCGTTTTGCCTGCAAACTCGGATTCATGCTGCTGCCCTTTATTGCCCTGCCACTCTCCCCTTCTTTTCTACTGTTACTTCCTTCGTCAACCTCTCTGCCTTTTCCTCACCCGTTTTGTTGGATATTTTTTAACCCTTTCGATGACACGTATTTATTGGGCGTCGTTTCACCGATGGCACGAGCGAAATTGCCATGATCGCTCAGACGAAAACGAACCGAGGTTGTGGAACATTGATTTTTCTATGAATTTCTTTTTTTAATTGGCTTTTTAAGGTGGTTGA